TCAGCCTTTGACTGATTTACTTAAAGTTAATCCAAAGAATTTCATCATTACATCAGAAGCTGAAACAGCGTTTGTTACCATGAAGCAGAAGTTGAGCCAGGTAACTTGCCTGAGCTACTTGGACACCGACGAGAAAGTTACTCTTCTTCTCAAAACGAATGTGTCACAATCCACCTTTGGGACTGTACTCCAACAACTAATCGGCAAAGAGATTCAGCCGCTGTCTTTCTTTTATCGGAGGCTACAGCCAGCACAAAGGAGATATAGTACTTTCGGTCGCCAACTTCTCGGGATGTACTTGGCCGTCAAACACTTTCGTCACTTCCTTGAAGGACGACTTTTGTAATCCTGACAGACCACAAGCCTTTGGTCTACGCTTTTCGTGCCGCTTCTGACCGCTATTCTGAGAGAGATAGAACATCTGTATTACCTCTCACAATTCTGTGTCGATATTCGCTACCTCGACGGTCCGAATAATGTTGTCGCTGATGCACTTTCACATGCTCACATACATCAACATTGGTCCTCTCCAATAGACCTTGAGAAAATGTCCGTTGCTTAGAACAACGATCCTGAACTCGCTCAGCTTCGATGGAATACCATGTTGAAATTCGTGCAAAAACCTATGTTAAACTCAGACGCAAGGATTCACTGTGATGTCTCTACCGGTAAGCCAAGACCATTTGTTCCCCAGTCTTTCCGGCGAACCATCTTTGACCATTTTCATGGACTATCGCATCCTCGTTTTCCATTCATTGTGAAGTTGATTATTGATCATTACATCTGGCCTAGTATGCGCTCCGATGTCCGTCAATGGGCTAAGCACTGTTTCAGCTGCCAGAGCAGCAAAGTACACGGACACACTATCTCTGCCCCCGGAACCTTCTCACTACCTGAGGCGCGTTTTAAACATGTCCACCTAGACCTAGTCGGACCGCCTCCTCCAGCGAACAATTTCACTTTCATTCTTACTTGTGTTGACCGTTTTACTCGTTGGTCGCATGCCATTCCTTTACGTGACACGTCTTCAGAAACTGTCGCGCATGCATTTTTCGACTCATGGATTTCCTTCTGCGGTGTGCCATCAACAATCACTACAGATCGAGGATCTCAGTGTAGTTCAACCTTGTTCCGTGTTGGGTTGTACCCACATTCGGACAACTGCTTATCATCCCGCTTCGAATGGCCTTGTCGAGCCTCTCCATCGACAGCTTAAAGCCGCCATCTCAGCTAATTCACCTGAACCACATTGGTCTGAACGCATCCCAGCTGTCCTGCTTGGTATTCGTAATACCGTCAAAGAGGATATTGGCTACATCCCTGCCGAACTCGTCTTTGGCATCACTCTCAGACTTCCAGGTGAGATGATTTTAGATTCCCGAGTCACGGGTGAAATGGATCCTGTGTCCTACGCCGAACGTCTAAAACAACGGTTCCGAACAATTTGATCTACGTCTACTCGCTTCACTGCCCGCTAACAGCGAATTCATCCAGGCTTACACACCTGTCCTTTCGTTTTTATTCGCATTGATGCAGTTCGCAAGCAGGACACCCTCTTATGAACGTCCTTTCAAAGTGCTGTCACGGAAACCTAAGTACTTCATCCTGGAAAGGAATGGATCGAAAAAAGTAATGAGTATTGGCCGTCTTAAACCCGCCTATGTTGAGCCTATCGTTACTTTGATTGATCCAAGTGGTTACCCCCTGTTGGTCAACCGACTGATTCTAATGCTCCAGAACCTACATGCGCTCGCTCAACGAATGATCCCAAGCATACACGTTCAGGACATTCTGCGCTTTTTCCCTCCAAACTAGCTGAGTTTGTTCCCTACATAGATATAGCGAACGTGACCTTACCAGTTTACGCTCTACGGGTGAGGTATGTAGGGGTTAATAATCTTTTACATTTTGTCTTTCCTATCATCAATTTTATCATGACATCTTTTGTACAGTTTTTTTGAATTAACGATTACTATATACTTCTTCGTACCCTGCGATCCGTCGTGCTGATTTTTGACTGCGCTGCTTCTGCCTGCGTACGGTGCCGTCCAGTCTGCTTGCGAATCGGATATTAGACTCAGAATTACTATCGGAGGTCTATTTCCGTCGTGCTTGATGTGTGCCACAGGTATGGCGCAGTCTACAATTCGAACTCAACTGTGCTTATACTGTGAGTTGATTCTTTCCGCGTTTTGCGTTTACTAAGGGACAGAAACCTTCCCAGTATTCTTCCGACCACTAGAAAGTCGTCGCGAGACCTGTTGTCTACAGTTCCGAAACGGAGCGCAGTGAAACTCCCCAGCCATGCATAGGGGAAGGAACAGAAAATCCGCCGCATTCACCTCTGAACAATTAGACAGAGGGTACTGCATGCAACAGACGGAAACGACCCTGGGGGTAGGCTGGAAATAGATACAAAATCAGTTGTCAGCTGACCGCACAAGGATCGGTGTAAATTCTCGGGAAACTTTTGTGTGCTCAAAAACGCTTCTGACATCCGTTGCTTTCAACATTTCGTATCCAAACACTCAAGGGATTCGCAGTACATAGGCCGAGCTTCAATCTCGGCAAACCTCAAAGTGTTGGGACCTCATCATGATAACCGAGACTTGGCTGAACGACATGTTTACCAACGCTGAGCTCGCACTAGCTGGTTTGTCACACTTGAGCAACGGCCGACCCACAAATGGTGACGGCGTAATTCTTCACTACCGTTCCGAGATTCTCATCGACCGCGTAAACTACCCTAGGGATTCAAACTGTGGACTCCTTATGGTGCTGCCTACGCCTGAGGCGGGGAGATATATGCTTAGTGGCCATTGTATACCGTCCACCAATTTCCACTTTAGAAATGGATCAGGCGTACAACCAGTACAGATAAAGCGAAGTAGGGAGATCCCGGTAGTGCAGAGTTGTTACTTCACAAATTAAATGGTTGTGTAGCGACCATGTGTCTCACCATAATGGTGAGTGGGTATAGATGGATATTGCACACCGATATGCCACCGAAACGGAAGCTAATCGGAGCCTACAGTCAGGAAATGCAGTCGTGAGAATTTCACTGACAATTTCCTTGACGTTGTGCGAACCGAAAACGCCACCAAACCAGGACCATAAATATCGGCATAATCGTAAGAGTTAGTTAATCGGAAGCAGAGGACTAACATTTGTTTGACAGACGGATCAGTACCAGTAGTATATTTTGGAAAATTTGTATGGAGCCATAGTAGTGGAAGCACGCGAAAAATATTGTGTACTTTGCGACACCATGTTGCACTGAAGATGCTTCTGTACAACATAGTGTCTGCGCTCCGACGAGGGTATCGCAACCTTCTAGAAACTAATCCGTCAGAGCTTCCTAGTCAAATGCACGTTGACGGAACTTGTGATAATAAGCGCAATAAGTGAGAATTGAGGTTCCATACTACTACACAAGGAATCTACTACCTTGCCTCACAGTGTTGCATTCACTCTATGAATCAATAGGTGCAACTTAACATCCAGCGACGGGTCCGAGAATCACGCAATTAAATGCCATTTGCGTGACGGAGTTCAAATCCACCGAATTCCTTACTATCCTCTGGTCGTCAATAAAATGGTGAAATATGCTGATAGGCAGTTGGGCCTTACTTGAGACTAGAAACCAATGAGGATATAAGTGAGGATCACTTGATTAGTTCGCTCTCGGCCAAATTACCCTCAGATTTGACAGGCCAGGCAGCTACACCTTTTTCTTAGATTAGCATAAGGAAGTAAAAACTCTTTGTTCCTACGTGTTGTTAGCTTACAACGGAGCAGTTTTTATACTGAATCGATTGGGAGGCGGGGTTCGCTCAAGGCTTTAGACCGATGGTTTCGGTTAAAGGCTATCAGTCGAGTCGAAGGGTTCTATAATAGAAAATACACACTAAAACGGTAGGACGTCCGTTCTCTCGTCCTAGTAATCTCGACAGCCTGACTTTAAACGCGGGACGCTGTTGGCCGCTGGTCGGCATTGGTAAAATGAATGGGAGATGTTAACGTAGGTAGATATGTAACGTGACACTGCTGCTACAAAAGGTGGACTAATCATTAGTGCATATTTATCAATTCCGATGCGGATCACAATCGTCTCACTTTTTTGCAACACTGCACTCTATAATTTGCTTGACGTCTCGTTGGTCATTTTGGAGGGACACATTGTTTTACCACCACTGCATCATTTTGAGTGTCGCTGCAACAACCTCATTTTCGTACCCAGTAACCAAAACACGCTTAAACGGACTAACTTTTAGGGAATATTCTGATTCTCAACAACACATTATGGGCTTCTTGCCATATCTAAACCTAGTGCAGTCAAGGTAGTTCTTTGAAAGCAAGTCTGATTGGAGGTCTTTTTCTTAGCTTCATAAACGTCACGTATTCATCGGTTTTACCGGAAGCCATATTTGGTTCATTGTACAATATAACCATTCGCTCTGGGTCTACCAATTAGAAGCGGACCACACGGCGGACCAAGGTAGTCAAGATTACCGGCTAACCGATTGGTGTATCCAAACTCTGCGCCTGGACATAACCTGGACATGACACAGCGGTGTTCATCTAAGTAGCTGAGTGCCATTTAGGTCTCGATGCTATGGGGCTCCCAGGAAGTAACATAGCTCCTCGATTCCATAAGTAACAGGCTCTGTTACGCCCCCATCAAACCTGCTCAGCGAGCTGCGACGTTTCTGGTTGCTACGGTCCGCCACACATAGCAGAACACTGAGTATATAGCAATAGGAAGTGGAACATGTCACAAATCGAAGTTTTTCCTAACTAGGCTGGTAATGAACACAGCAACTCTTCTGTCACTGAAGACAATAAACCTAATTGACGTAATCAAGGAGAGTAGACGTGATTGGACAAAATTTGCACGTATATTCTCTGCATGGTAAACATCAGTACTGACAGACGAACAACGAACACACACAAACACCGGTGCCCAGTATGAGATACCGGGTTAGATGATCCCAACTTACCGTATGCTCCGCGTTTGCCGCCGCCTCCTCAGCCTCCTTTTGTGCCTGAACTTCCAGCGCCACTTCGTCTAAGCTATCGCCGAAGATCTCATTTCCCACAACTTCCCTCATTTCCCTAGTGGCTGCGGCTGCAAGTTCCAAGCGACTAAGTGCCAAACGAGTCGATCTGTCGATCACGTACTGGGCTACTTCAGTGCGAGCCAAGGGCATAACCTCCTCCAAGCATTCCTTCTCTAGGATTGATCTACCGAGTTCACGAAATTCGTGGTGTCTTGCAGTGACAGCCTGAAAAAGATAGTTTAGATTGAAAGTAATAAGGAATGGTACACAACTTTAACCAGTAGTTGCAATTATCGATTATAATTTACCTCCGTCTAATTAGTGCAACTAACATTGCATCTGGTTTGAACACAGTTAATGAATGGTCCACGCGGAAAACACATTTTTACTATTACAGGAACACATGAGGTTGGTATGCAAAAGAAACTGATTGCAGAACGAGTAGTATTAAGACCACCGTCATTTTGGAAGCTTAAATGGGACTAACAGGCAGTGACAGTCGACAGCTGTATGGTAAGCCGAATGCACACCGGAACATTTAATATGAACTGTTGCAAATTTGAGCATTTAAATAAATAAATAAATTATATATTCCTCGACGATGAGGGAAGCTATTCCCTAGAAGGAACAGATCAAATAATGGTGCAACTTTTCCATGATATTTCAGCAATACATTTTCAGAGATAAACATGGGCGCAATTGCAAATTAGGTTACACAGAGTAAGCGGAATCGTTCTGTTATTTTTTCCTGCCATTGAATCAGGATTCTTCACAATCACATGACAGATATTTGGGCCGAGAGAAAAAAATGTAATGAAAAGTGATGTTGTCCGAAATGTTATGTGTATGTGTTTCGGAAATTTATTCAGACACCATGGATACCGTTTCGAATGCGTTATATAGGGACTGTGATGTCTCGAACATCTTAATCACGTTTTGGATGGTTAAATGCTTACTAATAGCAAGCTTAAAATGGCAAGAAGTATAGCATGTTCTGATATCACTTGGAAGTTTGTTCCAAATCTTTGAGTATTGGGTTAGAAAGAAACGTTCTCTGATTCTCGTAGTAAATTTTGGAATCATGACCTTTCCCTCTTTGTTACGTATTGGGTATCTGCTGTTTGCAGTTATGTGAACACCGTTTTCAAGATTGCGAATTAGACGATTTATGATTCTGTGAAGAAAACATAGGTTCAGCTTCATTATCCGAAGCCAAATTGGGTCAAATCCAACTTTTTCACATCGCTCCCTGTATGTCAACTTTGAGGAATATCCACATAGCTTTTTCGTGAAGCGTCTCTGGACCCTCTCAAGAGCGTACTGGTCAGATTTCCGTAGGTTAGACTGTACTATTGAACAGTATTCCATACACGGCAATACATATGTTTTTAAAAGCCATATGCGAGATTCCGTGAGGTAAAATTGATGGCAGATATAACCGATGGTCTTCATGGCTTTCGAAACTTGGAAGTCACAGTGTTCAGAAAAGTTAAACGTAACTGAATATCACACGCCCAAGTCGCGAATTGTCCTGCATTGCGAGATATAGGCACCTTGTAGTAATAAACTATCTGGCGGTACTTGGCATTTGTACGATAAAATATTACATTTGTCCACGACAAAAGACATCTGCCACAGTTGGCACCAGGAGTCAAGGGCGGATAGGTCATCCTGAATGAGACATACGGCTTCCTGAGTATTTGCACATGGTTGTGAGTAGACAACTTTAACGTCATCAGCAAAGATGAATGCAACACCATTTCTTATGCTCTGGAATACATCATTAATATAAATTAGAAAAAGAACTGGACTAAGAACACTCCCTTGAATCACTCCACTAGTGATTGCTTTCGGTTTAGAGAAATGGTCGCCTATGTGCACAACCTGTCTACCAATTCGATCTGAAGACAGCCAAGAGAACATCGGTTTTCCAATGCCTATAGCCTTTAGTTTGTTTAGTAACCTTCTGTGAGGCACTCTATCAAAGGCTTTTTGCATATCCAGGAACAGTATTACGACACTGTTTCCGTTGTCAATGGCAGTCGTTGTGTGGTTTAAAAAGTCAGTCTGGCATGTTGCGCAGAATCGACCTTGCATGAAGCCGTGTTGCGAATTGCTGATGATGTTAGCTTTGTTCAAGAATATAAGTAGTTCATCTTTCACTATCCTTTCCATTATTCTAGATACGATGGGTGTGTGATTGATGGGACAAAAATGTTTAGCCTTGTGGGCAGCGCCATTTTTATGTCGCGGGATAACAATAGAAGTTTTCCATTCAGTAAGATATACTCCGTTGTTAAAAGAGAGTGTAAAGCGGTTGAGCAAAAGCAGAAGGAAGTCACAACCACTGTTTTTTATTAAACATGGGGGAATCCCATCAGGGCCTGCACACTTTGAGGAGTATAATCGAGCGACTTGACCAGTGATTTTCGCTATAGTGAATTCCACTGTGTATAGACCTTCATTATTATGCGGCATGATAAATGTTGATGTATCTGATGATTCAGTGAGCATTGATTCGGCAAAATAAGCACTGAAAGCTTCGCAGATACCATCTGGTGCGTCGTAGTATGTTCCATCAGGCGTGGTGATAAAACTGAGATTGCCACTGCAACGCGAACCCCGGGCACGGAATAGTTTGGCTAGCTCAGCTGTTTTGCTAGAGCCATTCAGAGCTTTATACTCTTCTAGAATGAGAGTTTTGTCACGTTGATGCCTCTGTTCTTCCACGAGCTTCGACTGCTGTAATAATAGCGCAAAGTCAGCAGTTAACTTGAATTTCAGACGAATCTTATGAAGCTTTCGCACTGCCTTCAATGCCTTGGGATCGGATTTAGGTTCGGTTTGATAAGCACATTTTAGTGGTATTGCTGAATCGATGCAGAAGCCGATTATACTATAAAACAGGTCCGTCGCATGTTGAGGGCATGAAGAGAGAAAGGATTTATCCCAATTCATCGAACGAACAAGGTCCTTGAATGAGTCCCAGTTGACAGAATTAAACAGACGATAATGCTTTGTTTTCTTACATCGGCCATGCGTAGTCTTAGACAGCATTTGATTACACGATGATCGCTCCCTGGAAATTCATCAAGAACGTTAACACTGATTCCTTACTTTAAATGCTGTTCTAGAGAAACTTGCGACTCCAGTGGTAAAAACGTTAACAAGCAGTTGTGAGATTCAGCGTCTATTTCGTACCGAAACGTCTAGACAAAGACGGAAGAGGTCTTTGAGTGTGCAGTGGAATTGAAACATCTACGCCTTCAGTATTTTGTAGCACCGCAACGTATCGTTCTTTGTACCTTCCTGTCTTTCACTTGTTTTACTCATTGTATGCCTCATTCACTTACTCTCTTACCGTGAGCCCGCCTCTACGCTGCTCCTGCTCACCTGCTCTCCATTCCTTGTAGCTTTCGTCAGTACACGTTGGGTCCTACCGCTCCTATTGTTCTCCGCATTCTCGTACTTGACACGCGTCAGTCGTGCTAATTGTCTGAATAACACCCTACAAGTGTAATTTTGCCAGTGATCTGCTTCAACTCCATCCCAATTGAAGGCACTATTTTGTCGTGTCAAACAGACTTATCGTTTGTTTAATGATGTAAATGCGTTAAATCAAATTACATCGTACGAAACATACATAGATAAATGACGCTATTTCAAGTTTTTAACCTATACCAAACGCATGATTTGGTCAAAAGGCAGTTGCGGCTCCCTGAACAATCTCCACGTGGTGCCACCAGGGTGGTTCGGCTTAATCCCGTTCCACTGATTGGTGCAACGGCAGTGTTTCAGAACGTCGTGGGTTTTCGCCTGGCCAGCATCCTCACTGTAAAAATCCACATAAGCCTGTTTAACAACATTGTGACGTGGAGGATGTGACTCGCCACTAAACGTAGTCATTGAGCTTCACTCATCCGGATCACCTTCCTCACTTCATAGACGTCAGTGCTCCAAGCCGAAAAGTTCCTTCGAATCCTTCTCATGCCGACGACCTGACTGAACACAACACCAAGCGCAGCGCCAAATTAACACATTCAGGCAACACAGATACATAAATTTATACCTACATATATTCATTTGCACATACGCATATAGATCCAGTAGAGTACTGGTAATTTTACCTTTTAACGATTAGGTACAAATACTGTTTGTATTAATATGACCATGCCTATACAGGCTTGCCTCGAACTGTCGAGAATAACAACATTTATTTATTTATTTAGTTGCATTTCTGTACCGTGAAGCTAAATGGTAGAAAAATGTACAAGTCAGAACTCACGACTATGTTTGCAACGTGTGTGCAGCTAGTAGCAGACTGTTGACGACGTGTCCTTAGGTTCCATGATGCATTAAAATGAAGCAAATAGATAACCATACTCATTTGTGAACGTAACGGTCTAAAGCGTGAATCGTGTGTTACTAGTGTTGTTGGTTCAGAAAGGTGGAATTAGGTGGGACCAGGGGCACTGGGTGATCAAGGGGAATAAACCCACTGGTGCAAGAAAGTAAACGTCTTTCGGACTGTACAGTTTGGACGAACTGAGATGAAAAGCTAACGTTTACCAGCAAGTTATTCAATGCACGACAATGAACAGTGACTTGTCACGGGTGGATAGCCGGTGGTTGACAAGCCCTGTAGGATGATTGTAGTGAAAACTTAAAAAGAACAAGATATATGAACCATCAATTTAGGCACCTACCGATTAACATGCACTTCTGAATAACGATAGTGTACAATGGGAATTGAATGTACGCATGGAAAGCAATGTGGAGAGCAGTTATAGCTGACCTATGCTGTGGGAAAAAGTACAAATGAAGACGCTCATTCGTATGCCGCTTCCTTGGACCAGTGGAACACCTAAATTCAGTTCGTGTGCATCCTAATGTTATTCCACATTAGCGGTTTGTGCAATAAAGTGCAGAAAGTAAAACTGAGCACCATGAATGATGATGTTAGGTTGACACTGGGTCATAGAGGGCTATAAAACGTAATGTAAATTTGTGAGTGTATCATCGAAACGTCTTGTGAATACTGCTAGTGGGAGGGAGGAAAATGTTTTTTGGTGTGTAGGATGTTCTAAGGTTGACACACAAGAAGGATAAAGAAATTCAGTGGCATTCCAAACGGCAGTACTGTGTGGGCTGTTTTAGCTGGTGATCTCTCGGAGTGATATTAGGCTTCAGCTCCAGAAGGTGACGGGGCAAGCATGGTTTTTATT